CATGATGATGATGATGACCATGATGATGATGATGACCATGATGATGATGATGACCATGATGATGATGATGACCATGATGATAATGACCATGATGATGATGATGACCATGATGATGATGATGACCATGATGATAATGACCATGATGATGATGATGACCATGATGATGATGATGACCATGATGATGATGATGACCATGATGATGATGATGACCATGATGATGATGACCATGATGATGATGACCATGATGATGATGACGATGATGATAAGAATGAATGTTATTAGAAAGGCATTTTTTTTAAATGCTATATTGCTTGCCTGACAGTTAGAAAGCAAAATGACGTCATCATGACGAAATACCGATAACATGGCAGCTGTGATGATGGCCACGTTCGACGTTTAAAAAAGTATGCACACGTAAACAATAACAACAAAACTAAAAACAACAACAACAATACTACTACTGCTACTACTACTACTACTACTTCTACTACTACTACTACTACTACTACTACTAATAATAATAATAATAATAACAATAATAATAATAATAATAATAATAATAATAATAATAAAGAAATAGACCACCTAGTTTACCAGTCAAAAAATCATACAAAAACATAGTTCATTTCATTAATGATTCCCTTTACAATCATATACAACAAACACACACACACACACACACACACATACATACAGACAGGCAGACAAACTGACAAACAAACATACATACATACATGCATACAAACAAACAAACAAACATTAATACACAGGTGTACAATATACGATGGGGCGGATTACTTAGGTTTGAAAGCAATACGAATCTTTATTGTGCATATGATGAAAAACATTTGCATGTATGTGTGCATGTTTGTGTATGTGCGTGCGTGTGTGTGTGTGTGTGTGTGTGTTTGTTTGTTTGTGTACACGTATGTACGTATGTGTATGTATGTATGTAGGTGGGTTTGTATGATTTATGCACACGCTTCATTATGTTTGTGTATTATTTAAGTTTGTATGTTTATAGAAATTTGTATCTATACATGCATGCATGGTTGTTTGTGTGGTTATATTATTCAATTCATTCATTCATTAAGCAGTATATTTAATTTTTATTCTGGCTAGGTTGAAATTGTCTCTGAAGTTTGCGATAGTGAATTAAAACGAGAAACAATGCATCTAGCCTGCCACCTTTCACACAATATTTAAATATTGATCTTAAAATCATAATTATTTAACGAACTATAGAACTTATCGTTATTTTTTAATACTCTTTCTTCTACTATATCTTTCTATTTATTTAAAGACTGTAGTTTGCAAGATGTCCTTCATTAATTCATCCACTCTCCCATGTATGATCAACAACACTCACCCAACTTATGAGGAATGAGGGGGCGGGTCTTTCTTTCGGGGAGGTTAATAACGATAAAGATGACCTAATCGTTTATAGCTACTAATATTTCGATCGTTGTTATTTTTTTCTATTTTATGATAAATGTAAAATGAGTTAGTTAATACAATTTATGAATAATTCAGTCAGTAATAAATCAAGGTATCAAAGAAATATCCAAATAAAAGTTAAACAAACGCTGATAATAATAATAACATTAATAATAATAATACTAACAACATTAACAATAATAATAACAACGTTAATAATAATAATAACAACATTAATAATAATATTATTATTATTATGAATTTTGTAATCAAGTGACATGTAGTTGTTATTAGAGTTAAAGGTCCCATCAACTCGAAATTAGAGTCCCACTGGTTGACGAGAAGATGAACAATGACGTCATACTGACTGCCGACCAGTAGAGTAACAATGATATAGACCATCGAGATGATTTTAGAGTTTTTGGTGCTTCCTGCGACTATGACGTCAGAGTTTCCGTGGTTACGTACAAAATAGAACGACATTCGTTTGGAGTTGTGCTCCGGTTTACGGTAAGTTGTCGGTACTGTTTTGGGACTTTTTCTCACTATCGAGTCGGCTCCCGCACTCAGATTTGGAGTGGCATCTTTTAAATTTGAAAAGGGAAGAAATTATTTTTATTATTTCTTTCAAACGTTTAATTAATTAATTAATTAATTCATTCATTCATTCATTCATTCATTAATTCATTAATTCATTAATTCATTAATTCATTAATTCATTAATTCATTAATTCATTAATTCATTAATTCATTAATTCATTAATTCATTAATTCATTAATTCATTAATTCTTAATTCATTCATTCATTCATTCATTTATTCATTCATTCATTTAATTAATTAATTAAGGACCTATCCTAAGAAAGACATCCCTGGCTCTCACGGCCACGTCATTGGTCACGATGATGACGTAGTGCGATGACGTCAAAGGTGTCACGTGATTCACAACCAATATGGCTTCCACTAGATCGGGCGATTGGGTCTAGCGGCGTGTTTAATTAATTAATTAATAATATATTTAACACTCATTATCTGGAGAGCATTGCGAAATTAAACGCTGCTTGCTGTCATTTCTAATTAATCATTCAGTCAATCAACCAATCAATCAACTAATCAATCAACCAACCAATTAACCAACCAACCAAATAGCCAATCCAAACCAGCCAACTAACCATGACAATAGATTTATAATCTTCGTTTTCTTGCCCTTCCACTACGGCACTTCCGTTTCCGTTGAGAACCCAGTAGAGCAAAGTATATGGCGGATTGCACCTGACGTCACACCGGATGTTTACGTTTCGTTCACCCACGTGAGCACTGACGTCATCACATGATATCATGGCGCCATCTTGGAAATTTGCATACATACATCCAAACAAACATCTATGTATTTGACATAAACACACACACACATACACACAGACAAATACACAGTGAAACAAACACACAGACAAAAAAACTTACACAACACTCTCATCTTTGCTAGGATCCTAGTGGTATCGAATCCGGGCACGGAGACTTCGCATTTCAAAAACTTGCCATTGTCAGAAGGACTGGGCAGGTAGTGTGAAGTCAGTCGCTGAGTCGTGTAGTGTAGCAATCGCATGCCACGATGCTGTGTTAAGGCAGGCTGTGTGTGCGTGTGCGTGTGTGTGAATGTGTGTGTGTGAATGTGTGTGTGTGAATGTGTGTGTGTGTGTGTGTGTGAATGTGTGTGTATGTGAATGTGTGTGTGTCTGTGTGTGGTTTTGTTTTTGTTTGTCTGTGTGTTTGTTTGTTCATTTTTTTGTTTCAGATTATGTGGTTTTTCATCGTTTTTGTGTTAGTATAAGTGTTTGTGGTGAAGTTTTCCGTGTGAATGTTTATGACTGCTTGCATCTCGCTTTGCACCGATTGCATAATATGTAAATACATACACACACAAAAAAAAACACACACACACACATGCATACACACACACACACACATACACACATATACACATACACGCATACATACATGTCTCGACAGAAAACATCACAAACTTGAACAAACATTGCCCGTAACAATAAATCGAGATCTTTGTATTTGAATGAACTAGGTTATGAAGCCATTGTCGAAGGAAATTGTCATAAAAAATTGTCGCAGCAGTTATTGAAAACCTTTTGAGAGTAAGAAAAAACGAAAAAAAGTGAAGGAAAAAAGAGAGAAAAAAAAGAGAGAAAGAGAGAGTCAGATAATATGTAACGAACGAATTAAATATGCAAAAAATGAAGAGTTTAACAAAATGAAAATGAGGAGAGGAATTTTTAAAAAAATG